AAAGAAGGACTCAAGCTGGAGAATATAGCCATGAGCTTAGTGTCAGGAGAACCAAGCATGGATGAAGACGAAGTTGCTAAGATTCTCATCACTCAAGTTCCTTTGCCTAGCGAGGCAACATCCCTGGAACTGGAAATAGACGTCCTAGATGAGCAGCCGGACAAATTTGCAACCTTCTTCTCAACCATCAACGAGGATAGACTTTTCTGTCACGACGTTGACAAGGGAATATAGCTTGATAGTACAGATGTCGCTATCTAGAACTAGCTAGCGTGAAATAATGCCCTCAAGCAATCTAGCCATAGATGACTCTCCGCCCATTCCTATATATGCAGAATAATCCATGTCTGTGAGATAAATTTGATGATACGCCGGCTGTCTACCATTGAGGGTACTACGTGAACGGGGTTACCGTAGGTGTAAATTGTAACTGATCTGGTCTTCGGGGCCGCGTGGCGGGCAATATAGAGGTAGATGCATGTTGATAATGTGTTATCAGCGATCTGTAGACCCTGGCATAATAATAATATTCTCAACACCTTAGGTACTACATAAGGTTGCTAGCAGTATTTCAAACTGTAGCGGCAGAGGATATAAAATTGACAGGGGCTGCTTTTGACGTCTGGATCCTCGCCGCATGTAATGCAGTATCGGCATTGTTGCGCACTCCCGAGACATCCGGCAATTCAACCAGCGGGAGCTCACTGGCCTGCATGTACCTCGCTATTCAGCCCATGCTAATTAACACTACTATAAGTATGTAGTTAAGAACAAATCCCCAAGATTTTCAAGGACTAACTAAATGAGAGGACATGAACTGAACTTTCGTGCAGGGATACGGGCCCCGATTACCCTTATCGACATCTCAACGTCCGAGAACGATGATCTTTTAGTTCCCGAAGAAGTGATACAGGCGATCATCTAGGTATGGAATACACCTATACTACATATTTTAGACTAGATCGAGGTGACTGGTTCCTTACTAAGTATACCTTATCTACCTAGGTACTTACCTGGTGTAGATTGAGATAGAAGTAGTGTATGTCTCTAGGTACTTGCTGTAGGTAGAAATGCCATCTGCCCATCCCAGCTGCAAGCACTTCACCATCCCAAAGGGGCAAAGTGGGGTTTACTGAAGTCTTGTGTGTACTCCGTACTTACCTACTATGAACGTATCCCACTAGAGGCACAGTGGGAAAAACGCATAGGTAGGTATGTATCAGTGCGTAGGTAGGTAGTTCCAGGGTAGCGACCAGTGGAGCCTGCCCAGTAGGGAAAGGCTTCCGAATCTGGCCCTGTCCCTCTGTTTTCGCCTCGCAATCCCTCCAGTCTTGCCTGGTACAGCAAGGACCTCTTGAGTCCTACACTACCGGTAATACACCACTGTACACAACATTCTGTACATCGCATTCTTTTTTCCTTGTCGGTGCCAACATTTGTCATTTGTTGTGTTTTATTTCATTGGTCGCCTGATTTTTCTTCCGTGATATCCCTTCTCTTTCCTGCCCCTCTCTAGACTACAGCCCACATCGAGGCGCACCACTCTCTTTTCGACAACACGAGCCTTGTCTTTCCATAGCGTCCCTCCCCGCGCTGCCCATGCTCACGATCCCACCCGTTCACCAACCCGGGTTCCCTTCATTACTTGATATATAATGATATAGCCTCATTATCCGTTGTGAACCCAGTTTTATATACTTTTCAGGCATCCTCAACGCCGCGCTTTGCAACGGTATAGTCATGGGGCTCTTCGGCCAGAAGGCAAAGCTGAAGACAGCACCAGCTGTCATGCGTGTGGAAAAGGTAGTTGTGCCTAGTAAATCTCGACCGAATCTGGTACCCGGAAATAGCGTGCGCGCGTCGTCCGCCCATCTGTCTCCCTTGACAAAACGATCTCCTAATCCACCCACGTCGCGACCGAAGAGCGCGTCGCCGTACCCCTCCTCTTCTGATGAGCGGCGGGTCGACCGAAAACGCAAGGCTGTGACGAGTACGCCTCGTGATTCGCCCGCTTTTGGCAACGATACCGACTCGGAAGACGACGACGGCGACCCCTTTCGAAAGCGTATGCGACGCAGTGACAGTCGACCACTCGATGTGAACCGCAAATTGCGCCATAAGAAAGCATTTGGCGACGATGTTAGAAACTCTTATGTCATCCATGCAGCCGATATCGCCTCAAGAGCCACCAAGTGCCCTCCGATCTCCGGTGCGAAAGATGACGAGGTAGCGATCGAAGTGCAGTATCCTTCACACTGCGCGCGGGAGAGGTAGGTTCCTTTCTTCGATTAGGTTTCAAGTATAATGCTAACTTAACATTCGAGATATGAGCTTGTATGGCAAAAGGACAAGATCGATGCAGTCAAGGACATTCTCTCAATCATTGAGAGCGTAGCCGAGACATACCTCACTGATGCCGACTCCAAAGCCTTTATCGATCACAACATGAGTTTTAGGAGGCAGATGGAACGCGCCATAAGCGAGAAGTACCGAGATGTCTCAGCCTTCCGAGCAGCACTTGACGGCTACAACACAAAACTTCTAGAGTTGGTAGAAAGTGGTGCCATCGCCAAGACCCTCGACCGAATCCACCACCTGCCATCCAGTCTTGTGTCCTTGATCCTAACCCAGGTCTACGATCGCACAGTCGCCCCAAAAGTTGAAATGCTCACAAAGTACGACGCTGGGAGCGATAATGTTTACGGAGAGCTGTTGCATCCGTTCGTCACCAAAATCCTAGTGGAGCAAACCAAAATGACATCTGACCAGGTTTTCATTGATCTCGGGTCTGGGGTTGGTAATGTTGTCCTTCAGGCTGCGCTCGAGATCGGATGCCGCAGCTACGGATGTGAGATGATGGAAAATGCCTGCAACCTAGCGGAGGCGCAGGAAAAAGAGTTCCGTTCTCGGTGTATGCTCTGGGGTGTCGCACCAGGAAGGGTTCATCTCGAGCGGGGCGACTTCCGTACAAGCGCCAAGATCCTCGAAAAACTAAAGGAGGCAGATGTCATTCTCGTCAACAATAAGGCCTTCACATCGACCCTCAATGATGCACTCATTAACATGTTCCTCGACCTGAAGAAAGGGTGCAAGATCATATCTCTCAAGTCCTTCGTATACGACAACAAAACAGCAATCAACGACGTTGCCACCAGTATTCTCAGCTTTGAGCAATTCCGATATCACGAGAATTGGGTGAGCTGGACCGGTTCCGATGGAGAATACTACATCTCCACCAGAAAATAAGGTCGTATTGTATAGTTATTTTCGGCATTCCCCTATCGCATATGTCAGTTGTTGCATATACATTGCGTAGAGTAGGGCGGTTTGGGCGGCGATGCGTAGGATACCAAAGATTTGGCTAGAGTTTAGAGCGAGACAAAGTTGTAGACGCTTACTGTATAGATGACACATGTGTAGATGATACCTGGCATAGCAATGACAATGGACGTTTCTTTCCTTTCAGTAGGCTTGTGTTACCATCATCTATGATTCTTTTGCTTCGGTGATTCGTTCTGGAGGTTCAAGGCATCAGCCTCATGACCCATCCTCTTCATCCAACGATCCACAAGCTCCTTGTTTTCGGCCTCCACCTTAGCTGACTTCTGGATGGTCATATTGAGCTCCATGTTCAACGTGAGATTGTCATCTTGGATATCCTAGAAGGAAAAAGAAGGCAGTCAGCATAAAAGATATTCCTTTGGACAGGTAAACACCACTGCGCCTCATTCTTCCCGTTCAGCATGCGACTCCTCGTGTCGAGTTGGACGCTCCCCATGATCAATGTCTCGACAGAAACGACACAGCCTCAAACAAGCACGCGGATGGCAATGACGCGCGTTTCACGTACCTTCAGGAATTTCTTCTTCTTATCCAACTCCTCGTTCAGATCCCGCACCCTAGCCGTCAGTGCATTGCGCTCAGACGTCAGATCGGCGATGCGTTTGCTGTCGACTCTATTCTTGGATCGCAGAGTGGCGAGCTCGGCCTCGGCAGCCTTGAGACGCGTCTGTGCCTGGCCGCGTCCACGAAGGGCCTCGGCGAGCTCGAGGCGGAGCTGGGCTGCGCCTTCGGACGAGGCCGTGGGATCGGCCGCGCTGGTAGTTGGGGGTTTCGCGGCCACTGCTGCTGCTGCTGCTGCTGCTGCTGCTGCTCCTCCTCCTCCTGCTTCTTTAGTGGCAGCAACAGCTGGCGAACCGGCGGCCCAGACCACCTTTTCGGCCTCGAGTGCTGCGACACGGTCTGCGAGCTGGGAGCCTAGAGAGCAGGCGATAGAGCCCCATTGTCAGCTTTGCGTGGTTACGAATGAATGGGTTAATGGGCTGTTTATTTGTTGAGGGGGGTTGGCGTTGGAAGGTTTCGGATTGTTGGCATTGTATTATAGCTGTCCATTTGTCTGGTCGTCCAAATGGGATATGAGTAAGTGTCGGTCCGTCTGCACTTACAAGCTTCGACTAGTTCTCTATTCACCGGATTGTTGCGCTCCGCCTCTTGCAACGCGGCCAGATAATCGTCCCGCCAATGGGGCATTCTAATTAATGGTCTTACGAGGTGCAAGTTGTTTTCGGATAGCTCTCCACATAGCAAATAAGGAAAACGTGGCACGCAATGAGGAGGAGTTCACGTCCTAAACAGCCTACGGTTTATGAGATGGAATGGAGGGGCAGCAGCTGGGATGATGTCCCTCAGCTACGTATCTACTGTAGGTAGGTCCGTGGCGGGGTTCCCTGTTAGGTTTAGGTTTGAGAAGCTCCGGTTACCTACCTAAGTCTCCACATATAGTCTCCGGCGGCCAGCTCTCTTTCTAATGCAACTACGATATATTCCAATATGTATTGATCGCATTCCATTATCTATGTATGCATATAGCCAGCTTATCAACAAGGTGTATATACACATGCTACATGTGACTAACAAGTTTGTACTCAAGGTCAGAGGTGGGATCAAAAAGCTATCAACAAAGAGCAAAATAAAGTGAAAAAATTTAGAATATCACTTCTTGACCTCGCCCGGGGTCGAACCGAGAATCTCCTGATCGGCCGCTATTCAGATCAGGTGATCTGAATTAACTGGTCGTAGTCAGACGCCTTGCCATTGGGCCACGAGGCCATTGCTTGATGATGCAAGGTCGTGGTAAATTTCTCTAAGACTGGAGAGTTAGGGGAGAAATTTGCACGCTAGAATAATTTTAGCCCACTTAGTCTCTCAGGTATTTAGTAAGTATATGAAGCTGTTTAGTGGGGGATAACAAATGAAGGGATGGATCACATGTCTTGGCATTGATAAAACGGTAATGATGTAACTAAAGAGCTATAGAAATTTATTAGATTAAATGTTTCCGCAAGTGCAGCGTTATATATAGCAAGCGATTAATATCTACCTATACACTTGGTGAAATAGGTAGTGGAATATTGGAATATGAATCAGGAGATTCTATATCCTTTGTCCCCAGCACTCATTGGCCCCAAAGGTGTTAATCGGCATGGTGATAATGCCTGTGAGCATAACCAGGCTTCTAGAACAACTTCCAGAGATTGACGCTTGCATCAGTGAACTCAGCAACGCCCTGCTCATGATTCTAATTTTTTGGTTTGGACTTGATGTCTACGTAAAAGATTAGATCGGGATTTTGAGAAGGGCTGCCAATTCTACGAGGTGTCTAGGAACGGTTAGCATTGTATAGTTGTGGCAGGACTGGAGAGGCGGGAGAATAGGTCTAGGCATCTTGCGTGCGCCCGAGGGTTCCAAGTATGCTTTTCCTTACCGTTTAATATGTCACAGAAACCCTCCTCCTCCTAATTATAAACCCCGATTTCTAACTTAAATATGGGCGGCCACTCTATAAATAGCGCCATACCATTTCAGCAGCTGGTGTCTATAATCATTAGTGTTGAAGACTTCTTTAGGGCTGTTCTTGTCACCAATCTGGATTTGAGGTGCTTGACATAGGTATGCATAAAATAAGTGAGTGGTTCTGATGATAACTATAACGGAATGCGTATATACACAAAGGCGAATGACGTCAGCCATTCATTATGTGTTACGCCTTTGTCTATATCGCATTTCGCCTTACCTGAGTTGCACCTTAGACGCACTAGTCAAATGTCTACCTTTCAAGTGTTGAAAATGAACTAGAAATGGCTATAGTCCAGGGTCTCCGTCTCTCTATTCCACACGAGGCCACCAAGGGAGTACTACTGCTGTTGTGTAGGCTGCCAAATGTTGGTCTTGGTTGTCGGTAATAAAGGGGCGTTCGAATATTTCTTAGACTCTTTGACACTGTTACATGCTCTATGAAGTCATCTTGGATTGTGCTCGCGAGAAGGCAAACGTTCCTTTTAATAGTATTCCTTATGAAGAGGCGTTGGCTTTCGTACGAGAGGGTACTCTCGGTCGTGCCGACATAAGGCGCTTAGTGCTGATATCGACCGGATTGAGAATTAGGGTCATAACCTCTTTCATGACTGCTTTGACATTGTTGCCAATCGCTCCATAATGCACTAACACAATGACTCTTTATCACACAAGCTCTGTTGATATGGGAGGTGGAAATATCGGTTCAGCATGCATTTGACTTAGAATTTACCCTTTCTAACGATAAATCCAATTAGAAATCGTTACTAACTCTACGCAAAGTCGCCAAAATGCAGATAAGGAAAATCATTGGCTTGCTTAGCACATTGGGACTCACCTCCCGATTCGTAAATGGACAACTCGAGCCCGACTGTAACCCTCTTCACGCTGATTGTCCAGCGAAGAAGGCTTGGCCAGAGGAGAACTATTATATAGATTTCACAAAACAGACAGGACCACCAAAGGACTGGATCATTGCCAACTATGAGGTGGTTAATTTTACACCTCGGGGTGCTGAATTTACATATGGAAAAAGAGGAGACGCGCCAAACATGTGGACTGACTTTTATATGCTCGGGGGCAGATATGATGTCGAAATGCAAATTGCGCCGGGCCAAGGAATCATCAGTAGCGCAGTCTTATGGTCGGATATCCAAGATGAAATTGACTGGGAATTCTCCGGGAACCAACATGGCGAGAAGCCATTTCCACCTCTAGATGGAAAGTGGACGGTTGAGACCAACATTTTCGCCCAAGGAAAGATGTGGGATGGAGCAGCCACCTACCAGAAAGATGTGTCTTACCCGACGACGCAATTTCACACCTATTCGGTAGAATGGGACGAAAACCATATGAACTGGTACGTTGATAACCACGTTGTTCGAAGCGTCCAAGCTTCAAAGACTCCGTCAGGATTTATCTTTCCGCAGTCGCCTATGAAGTTGCAGTTAGGTGTCTGGGGAGGAGGAGATCCTGCCAACAACTATTGGACAATCCAATGGGCTGGCGGTGAGATCGATATGAAGGGCGTCCCTTACACCATGTATGTGAGGAGCGTTAACATCACCAACAAATATCCGGCCTGCCAATACAAATATAAGGATAGGGTACGTACATAAATCTCAAATAAATCAGACTCATGCTAATTGAAAATAGAGCGGGAAGATTTCTAGCGTTGATAAAATTCAAGACGGTTGTAGTTCCTCCTCGACACCGACACCGAAAATAATAAAGGATAGCCTCAGCACTGAGACTCCTACCGCTGTAAAATCCATGGGCGTAGATCCTTCGTCGACTGTATCGAAGCCTGCTGGCACTAGTAACGCGGCATCATCCGGCTCTTCATCGGGTTCCCCTGCGAAGAATACCGTTACGAACCAGCCCACATCTACTCCATCAGCTAGCCCCCCCGGTCTTACAACTTCGGGTGTTGGTGGCTATCCAGTGGCTTCATCTGCCTCCTCCTCGAGAGTGAAGTCTTCATCTACGGCTAGCAGCTACCCAGTCGCTTCGTCGTCCAGATCCCCACAATCTACGCCTTCGGTTATTGCTAGTAGCTACCCAGTCTCTTCATCATCTAGCTCTTCCCAAGCTACGCATTCGGCTATCGCTAGCAGTTACCCAGTCGCCTCACCATCTAGTTCCTCAAAATCGACGCCTTCAGCTATCACCAGCGGCTATCCGGTCGCCTCGTCAGCTATCTCCAAGCTTACCTCCTCAGCTTTCATTAGTAGCTACCCGGTTGCGTCATCCTCTAGCTCCAGAGGCATCCTTAGCAGCTTAAGCTCTCTGATCTTAGGAACTAGCTCTGTAGCATCATCTAGTAGTGCGTTGTCAATATCTGGCAGCAACGGAACATATCCGGCCACACTCATCACCGCCTCAGTCCCTACTTCAGGACCGTCGAGTTCATCAGGGGTTGGGATTACGACTCCTACCATAGCTAGCTCTGTCATTCGGAGCTTGACGGCGGGCAATAACAGCAGCAGCATTGGTGGCATAACTATGAGTACTATCTCTACCATTTATTCCACTAACATCTATACCGTTACATCTTGTGCCCCAACAGTAAAGAACTGCCCTAAGGGACAAGTTACCACTGAGTTAGTCTCTTTGACAACTACCATCTGCCCCGTAACTGAAGTTTCTGGTTCGGGTTCTGTAACAACTTCAGGCCTTGAATCCCGTTACCCTACCTCTTCAGGGGCTTTGTCTGCGTCTTCGACACTATCATCTTCTTTAAAGACGGAGACTTCGTCTCTTGGGAGCTTTGTTTCATCCTCCAGTTCGACTATATTCCCAAATACTTCATCAGAAACAATGCCAACAGCATATACCTTCAGTTCTGAGATCACTACCTCCTTCATGTCGACGGTTTATTCAACCAATATCGTCACTATCACATCATGCGCGCAAACAGTCACAAACTGCCCCGTAGGCAAGGTTACTACTGAAACTATATCAATGTACACCACCATTTGCCCAGTCACCAACACCATTATAGATGGAAAGACGTTCAGTGGACAAGCAAGCCTCCCGACTATGACACGGAGTCGGACTAGTTCACCTATCCAATTGTCCAGTACCTCTGCTAAATTAACGACATCCACTGTCTATTCAACCAATATCTATACGATCACTTCCTGCGCTCCGACCGTCACTAATTGTCCTGGTAAGTTGGGCCAAGTGACTACGGAGCTAGTATCACTATACACCACTGTTTGCCCTGTGGAACAGAAAGGAACAACCGGTCATCAAGAGTCAAGTACTCTAGTCCACATTAGCGCTTCTTCAGTACCATCATACACTTCACCTACGATATCCTCTTCCCTAGTGCTCACTACCTCCACTGTTTACACTAGCAGTGTGTATACGGTCACGTCTTGTGCATCTGGGGCTATTGGGTGTTTTTCGAATATTGGCTCGGTTACCACGGAACTGGTGCCGATATATACCACAGTGTGTCCTGTTAAAGATCAACCAAGCGGTTCGTCCTCGCTAGTTTCTGTAACTAGCACCCAAGTGCAGCTTTCTTCTTCATCATACTTCACTACTTCAAATTTGGCCCTAGGGTGCACGACATTACCGGTATTATTTACAAGAACCTACGAAACCACCATTCATTGCACAGGCGCCGATAAATCTGCCTGTCCTCATACCACAATACATGAAGTCGTCACTACATCAACTACGGTATGCGCTGCACGTGAAAAGACCATACCAGTGGACGTACCAAGCTACACGATGACCGAGACCGAAAGCACGGTAGAAATGATTTCTTCAAGGTTAGTATTTACCTATTCACTTTTCATGATCAATAGTCCTTACTTGTCCTGTGCCAAAGCCCTCCAGGCCCGAAGATTAGCCTACTAATGTGAGACCTATTAATAGTACGATTAAAGCCACTACGTCCGTAGCGACCCCTCTTGCACCTCATGTCACAACTATCACTTCGTCTATTACACAGACCCGTACAGCCTATGAGACACTGTCCTCGGCCGCTCAGGGGCATCAGGAAAAGGGTGGACAGTGCATCTGCGACCCTACGATCTCGACTGTCTATGCTACGGTAACGGTTGCCGAGACCACGATCACGAGCACCAAGACTGTGGAGCCCCCGTTCCCGAGCACGTACGGCACGGGCACTGGCGGGACATCCTTTGGAACGGGTTATCCTACAAGTATTGGGGCGCCGAAGCGTAGATGGTTTAGACGCGCTCACGCCGGGGGGCATGGACATGGCCATCATTGATGAC